AGAAGAAAACTAACTAGAAACTGGAGACAGTGGCCCGGTGGAGGGCTGTGTAGCTGGGCAGCGCGGGGCTTCCCTGGTTATAGGGACAGACCTGACACGGGTCTTCTCTCCGGCAGGCTCAGCTCAGAAAATGTTCTGCCTGTGCCCATACTGAGCAAGCGATTAGAAAACTCCATTGCCCTGAGAACAACTCAGAGCCCATTCGGTATGTTCCTGACACTAACAGAAACCTCCGTTTCCATTTCAATCAACTGAAAGGAGACCTTATCAACCATTACATTTGCTTTTCTTCTCCTCTGCCCCATGAAAAAGCTGATACAACGCAGTAACCTTTTTCAGATCAAGGAATTTCAATTAGTCCAAAGAGAACACACCTTCTATGGACTCAGATCTACAAGTATTAACGAAATCAAATTCAGAGGGACTGGCCTGGACACGGCATCCCTATATATCAAATTTAGAGGGAGACAGAGATGCTGGAAGAGTAGCAAGGCAAAAGCAGCACACCAGGGTAAGTCTGTATCCTGTACACAATGTTTGCCTTTCTAACCTTCCTCTGGTGGTGGCTATTACTCCCATTTTCCCTTCTTGTCTCATATACCAATGCAGATGCAATGGCCTTGTCCCAGAAGCCTTCACTCTGAAGAAACCCCAGATATCCAGACATTTACCTCTTTTCTGAACACATCACCGCCCAAATTGTGCAAGCTTTGCCCTTCTTTTTCTCCAGATAAACCCAGCACAATCCTCCCCCACACCACGCCCTTGATCCTATGTGGTAACTAGAAGCACAAGGATGATCAGAGGAAAAAAAATCACTGTGGAAATACTAAATATTGCAGGAACAGGAGGTATTTAGGAATCTACTCTCTAAAAAGTATACCCTAACAGCAGCAGCAATGAAAGAGCAATAAATGAGTGGGAGAGGCCTAAGGGAAAATTGCACCTATACAGGAAGATGTAAACTTAGAGGAATCCCAGTGTTCAAGCTGCAGGTAAGGAAAGACATCTGAACTAAGTCCCTTTTCAACAGCTACTTGGATTTACAGGCTCTTCAGCGAATTGAAAAAGCAACAAAAACCACCCACCTATTAGAAGAGAACGATCGAAAATTAAAAGGATCAAAGGAATCAAAATATTTGTTCACATGCAGAAATTCAGATGGACTGCTGGAGAAAGGAAGAAATAAATACGCTCACAATATACGTGTACATTTTCAGCACCTAATTCGAAGAACACTGACCATTGGGAGAGACAGCTAAAAATCATCAACTTCTTTTCAAGGTGATTCTCTAGCATTGTTTTCAGCGCTACCTATTGTCAACCTGTTTTACTTGAAAACAGATTGAGACAAAACAATTATTTTTGTTTTTAAATGGGTGGGATGGGAAAATTAAAATTAAAAACTAAGAGAAATGCATGAGGAACAACTGAACTGACCAGATGTTGTGGAGGGAAAACTGCCTATTTTGAGTGCTATATTCTCTTTATAGGGTTTAATCTATTTCTGTTATTACAAGCACGAGTTGAAATTGCACGTGACAGGGATACGGACTGTAATCTAACAGCAAATTTGGGATTTGGCAGTTCAGTCTTTGAAGCCAGGATTTCACCCCTGAATTCCAAGTGCTGGTCTGATCTCTCTTGGTTTTATAGCAGAAGAGCTCCATTAATTTTCATGAAATCATGTCTGCAAATTACATCGTTGTAAATGACAGCAAAATGGTGCTCCTTTCTGTGATCTCCCGAATCACAGGTTATTTATCTACCCCTGTATAGAGGAGACCAGGATACTTATTAACTATAGACCTTGAAGAGGAGTAAGATGAAATGAAGGCAACAAAGGCAAGGGGAGAATATCAATCAAATCAAAATACAGGCTTACAGGACTAAAACTAATACAAGTATATTCTGGAAATAATACAACACAGAGTGCATTATTACTAATATAAAACTCTTGAAAGGTGTTATTCATTTATCTAAAAATCAATGTCAGCTGTACAAAATCTACCTGTTTTCCCTCATCACCTCTGCTTCCTTTTCTTTCACAGATGTTGGAGACTCTTCAAAGTCGTACGAGAAGAGGTGAAAAGGAGTATGTGGTACATAAGGTAATTTCTCCACCGTTGGAGATGCCTTTGGAGTAATGGATGCTGATGAATTCTGGGAGGAGCTTAGTAATGCTGCCGCAGGTGAAGATGGTGATGAAAGGACAGAATTATGATGAGAGACAGATGAGTCAGGCACAGAAGAGGAGCTGCTAGAAGAGCTCTTTGCTCTAGAGCAGGAGAGAGGCCTCTCAGCTGGAGAAATGGCACTGGAGACGGCTGAAGAATCAGAACACCATGAAAGGTTTTCATTCACAGCCTCCTGTGCACCTGGGACCCCACTGCAGGAGGAAAACATCATGAGAAAGGGAAGGGAAGGAGAGAAAAACGGGGAAAAGAGAGATCAATAGATAGTACCACTTGGAGGGGGAAAAAAAATTTCAAGGAGAGTCAGACAAACAAAAACTTCCCAAATTTAGACAATCACCATCTCTTTTTAAATAAAGTAAGAGAACTCACATCTTTGTATCCCAGTGGGATTCTTCTTGGGGTTGGAAATACTGAGGAATGGAAGCGACTCAGCTTAAAGGAAAGGAAGGGATTTAACCCACAGGTTTCAGAATTAATTTTCATGAACCTTTTCACAACCATTTTCTGAACAATTTTCAGGTATTTCAAGTTAGGTTGTAAGCATTGCCAGAGCAGTACAAAGCAATCTTAACACGCTGGATAATGTGATCCACAGAGTATAGATGCTTCAAGATACAATCTGCATGACTGCCTCTTGAAGGCCAGATATTTGATTATCATCCTCCCTGGTGATCTGATTTTACTAAAAATGCTCATCCACCAAAGATGAAAATAAAAAATACTCAATCAGCACTGCTCTGTCAAAATTAAGGTTTAGAATTATTTCAAAAGCAACGCCTTACCAGATCATTTGTCTAGGTATGAAGGCACTAATTTCTCTGAGTGTCAGCATCCCATGTTGGTGTCAGATAGAGACTTGCAGAGTTGCATCAAGTGCAACAAAAGACACATCTGCTTTGCTCTAGTGAAGGCAGGTGTTGGTGAGTGACAGAAGCAGCAAGGCAGGTGAAAAGCCATGGCATCTGCACTCCGGGATATCTGTTTTCACTAATATCTCCAGCATAAACACTGTGCAGGGCTTTGGGCTGAATCACTCGGCAGGTGGCTGATTTCATTCTTCTGAGACCACCTCTGCAATCCACCTACAGGCATGCAAGGCATGGCCCTTATCCGAGGAGTGTGGGTTTGGCACAGAGTACGCAACAAAAACATAATACGTTATATGTGTTAGGATATTATGAAGTTAATCATCAGGTATATACCAGGTAATCATTCTCACAACAGAAGCACAGGGCAATCTGGAAACCTTTATCTAATGCACCCGCTGTGCACGGCAGGAGTCACTGAAGCCAGGTTAGTCCTACCCTTCCTGACAGCATCTGACACGAATGGCCAGGGTACAGATCATTTCTGTTGCGCTACAGTGACAGTGAAAGGAGGTATTTAGAAAAGGCATGGGAATATCATCCAGTTATCTCACAGTGACTATTATTTTAAAAGACCCATGACCTAAAAACACATCATGACCTTTACACAGCTCTTCCTCTTTTTTTTAAACAGTACTTTAATATATTCATGTGATTTACTAATAACTTGTCTCTTAGCTTTGACTTTTAAGAATTGGATTTGAGGAAATTATCACTTAATTTTGAAATTTCAGGCAGCCATTGGCAAGATTTGCAGACTGGAAGATATTAATAACAACAGTACAGTATTTTCTTTGGAATTTGCACATTAAACACTTTCCTTTCTTCCTCCCATGCTGTATAGCGTCTGCATGAATGTGGTTTATTTAAAAAAAAAAAAATCCAATCTCACTTGCCGAGTTGCAAAGCCAAACAATTTAACCTAAATCAAATGGCTGTCTGGAAGAAAGAACGTATTTTCTTTCTTCCAATTTACCAGGATAAAGTTGCCAGATGCCAAATTCATATATACCTCAGGATAAGCGGAAAATTTTACATGAGAATATTGTTTTGATAGGTGGTTTGTTTATATCCATATATACACAGATGGGCAGGTATGTATAAAATGATATGTATCTATCAGCTTTGCCTCTAAGTAGTTCCTTCCTATTAAAACATGAACAAAATTGATAGAAATCATAGGCAGCACTCAAAAAATGTCAATCTTCATACCGACAGATATTGCTAATAAGGTTAATAATAAATAGGGATGAAAACCTAAGAAACCAAGCAACATCCTACCTCAGCGAAGCACTACAACATTTCACCATTGCCTTAACTAAAAAGATAAACCTAAGCCATGCTTAGACGTTACGCTTTCTGCTAAATCTTTTAAGATTTGTGAGTGTTACTCATTTTGTACAAAGGCAGTGAGCGCAGACAGTCCTTAGTGCATTGAGCCTATATTTTAAAAGACCCATGACCTAAAAACACATCATGACCTTTACACAGCTCTTCCTCTTTTTTTTAAACAGTACTTTAATATATTCATGTGATTTACTAATAACTTGTCTCTTAGCTTTGACTTTTAAGAATTGGATTTGAGGAAATTATCACTTAATTTTGAAATTTCAGGCAGCCATTGGCAAGATTTGCAGACTGGAAGATATTAATAACAACAGTACAGTATTTTCTTTGGAATTTGCACATTAAACACTTTCCTTTCTTCCTCCCATGCTGTATAGCGTCTGCATGAATGTGGTTTATTTAAAAAAAAAAAAATCCAATCTCACTTGCCGAGTTGCAAAGCCAAACAATTTAACCTAAATCAAATGGCTGTCTGGAAGAAAGAACGTATTTTCTTTCTTCCAATTTACCAGGATAAAGTTGCCAGATGCCAAATTCATATATACCTCAGGATAAGCGGAAAATTTTACATGAGAATATTGTTTTGATAGGTGGTTTGTTTATATCCATATATACACAGATGGGCAGGTATGTATAAAATGATATGTATCTATCAGCTTTGCCTCTAAGTAGTTCCTTCCTATTAAAACATGAACAAAATTGATAGAAATCATAGGCAGCACTCAAAAAATGTCAATCTTCATACCGACAGATATTGCTAATAAGGTTAATAATAAATAGGGATGAAAACCTAAGAAACCAAGCAACATCCTACCTCAGCGAAGCACTACAACATTTCACCATTGCCTTAACTAAAAAGATAAACCTAAGCCATGCTTAGACGTTACGCTTTCTGCTAAATCTTTTAAGATTTGTGAGTGTTACTCATTTTGTACAAAGGCAGTGAGCGCAGACAGTCCTTAGTGCATTGAGCCTACATAACTAAACATGTTTCCATTAACACACACCCACCAACAAAGCTTTTAAATGCAAAAAGATTTCCCTGGGGGGTGGCTTTTACAGGTGATCTAGGAATGCGAGTGAAAAGGTAGATGCTGCTGCACACTGTGCTGGTGAGTTTATGCCAGAGGCTGAGGAAAAGGTGGAGGGACGAAGCTGAATCCCGATACCTGGCTTTGACCTGCCTACGGGCCTCTTCCTCCCCCTCATCCTCAGTATTGGGCTCTGTGACTGGCTGTTCTTCTTCCTCCTCTTCCTCCTCTTCCTCCTCTCTGAGGTCAGACCAAGGAAAGAGGCATGCAGTAGGTTGGAAAGAGAGAAGGTGGAAGAGAAAACGACATGAGTCCCCAGAAAAAGAAATTCAATGAAATCAGAAATGGAAGGAAAACACTGGGCGGTGGGGTGGGGGGAGTTATGGCCCCCCTATGTTAGACAAACAGCCACCTAAAACTTCCCGCTAAGTATGTGTTGGTGCAAGGGTGGCTACCAATACAAAAATTTTATCCTCTCCCCAATTTACATTTTTTACTATTAATTTTTAAGACCCCAAAGATGCCATTGTTTTTTCTCGAGCTTGGCTTTCCATAACGCTGCTGCCCTACCTGCAGAGGCGTTAGTGGAAAACATTCACGACAAAACCAATGTTCAACTCGTCAGCCATTAAGCTGTGTCTGTTTGGCTTAAAGGACAGTACACGCTGTGCTGGCATGGGACAGCTGGCACTGGACATCACACTTTCTAAATTAACACAAATAAAACATTCCTGTTAAGCAGCCGATAGCTCAACTGGAAAACAGAACAGGGTGAACCATTAAGTTAGAAATAACAGAGAGATGAAATCAGTTCAGGACTATTTGCAAATAGCAATATTTAAGTTATCGGATGCCAGTACATGAATTATTTCAGTAAAGAGTCATTAGTATGGTCAAAGAAGGCTTCGGTTGAGCTA